CGAGTCATTCATCGAATCCATGATGAAAACAGTAATAGCAAAGCAAGAAGAAATGCACAAACAACTGATGGAGATTCTAGAACAGAAAGAAACCGAAAGAATCAAACGAGAAGAAACATGGAAAAAACAAGAACTCGAAAGGGCAAAACGGGAAGAACAAGCCAGAAAACAAGAAATATCTCGCAGCCTAGCTCTCATCACCTTCATTCAAAACTCATTAGGCCAAACCATCGAAATCCCAAACCCTAATCTTGATGCAACCCAAGAAAATCAAAATGAAGAAACTTGTAAATCTGATAATCCAGGTAATAATAATAATGATGTAGAACTCATATGTCATGATCCAATCAGTAGTAGTAATCTTGAAGAACATGATCAATGTGATTCAAATATGAAAAGATGGCCAAAATCTGAAGTACAAGCACTGATAACAGTTCGAGCTGCTTTGAATCAGAAGTTCACCGGAAAATGCCCCAGAGGTGGTGTCTGGGAGGAGGTGGCTGCCGGATTATCTGGTATGGGGTATAATCGGACTCCAAAAAAATGCAAAGAGAAGTGGGATAATATTAACAAGTATTATAGAAGAACAATGGAGAATCGAAAGGAGAGTAGTGGAAAGAGTCAAGTGTGCACGTATTTTAATGAGTTGGAAATGTTGTATAAAACTGGATTTATTTCAGGGAATTCTCATGAAGAAGATCAAAATCAAACCATGAAGGAGTTGCACTAGGGGTGTTGTATGAGAAGTCGAGAAGAAGATTTTCATATATGTATTACATTGTTGTTATTGGTGTATCAAGTTTTGTAGACTTAAAATTAAGTTAAAAAGACTTTATATATATACTAGTAGTGTATGAGATGTTGGTTTAAATATTGTTTTAATGGCAAAAAAGATGGTATTAATGGTATACAATGTACAATGCAGTTTGGTGACCTTTGACTTTTATGCAATTTAATGCTCATACATTATAACGTAATGGTAAATTTAAAGTTTTTCAACTGACCCACATTTTAACTTCTCTCTCTTTATTTTCTCCTTGGTTACACTCACCCAACCACCACCCGACGCCACCAACACCACCATCTCACCTAATCTCCGGCGGCTGTTGATACCACCATGGTAGGAACAAGAATGGATGAAGTTATTGAAAGAAAGGAAAAAGAAGGAAGGAATCGGATGAATGAGAGAAAAGTTGCAGTAATGTTGATGTTTTTTCTTGTTTTATCATCGGGGTTGTTCTTTCCTCATTATATGCAACACAATGATGATTCATCATCGTCGTTGTTACCTTTGTTGTTGTTTTCCCTTCTTCCTCTTTTGATTCTAATTTATTCGTTGTATCTTGTGGTGTTTGTTTGGTGATTTTAATTAAACGCTTTGATCCATTATTAATATAATGTATCAATATTGTTTTTCTCTAAGATGGATTGTTGTAATATCAAGATATGATAATGTAATGTAATGGTTAATCTCTCAATTCGCAAGCACATTGCTAATTCTTACTTGTTTTTATGAAAAGAAGAGTAAAAGTAATGCATGCATAGATGGAATATATATTGATATTGGAAAAATGAGATTTTTGGATATGTAAAACGACAGAGGAGTGGAGCATATAAATCCAAAAAGGGTAGGTGTGGCCATGCATTAGCCAAAGAGGGTGGCGGTCAAATGCGCAGTGAATGCGAAGGGGTGGCTCCGGCGAATACACTGTTCTTGTTCACCGCGCCTCCATGCCACGTGTCTTCATCTTTCCCACCACCCCACCATCTACATTTGCCTAAGAAAACATGCACTCTCTCTCTCTCTTCTTTCTCTCTCTCTCTCTCTTTTCTATCTGTTATCAACGCTTCTATTTTTTTTCAAATTCTAGAGAGAGAAAGAGAGCTTTCTAGAGAGAGAAAGGAGATGGAACGTGGAGGAGGTTTCCATGGCTACCACAGGCTCCCCATCCACCCTACATCTGGTACTATATTTACTCTATAAATATATTTATAAATATATAATGTTTCTGCTACTTTACTGGGGATCTTTCTTTTCCTGTAACTGCATTGGCCTGCTTATGTCTTTTCTTTATTCATTTCAAGAAATCTTGAATTGGGTTTTTGATTTAACTTCTGCATGCAAAATGTGTTCTTTCAATCTTGTCAAGTATCGTTAATTCCTCAGTGTTGTGCTTCAACTTACAGACAATAATTCGATTCATAGTTTTGTGAGTAAAGTGAACGATTAATTAATATACAAATGTCGACATCTTTCAGAGATTCGTCTACATTCTTTATTACTTCACAGACAACTAAGATACCCTGGATTAACATTTTGTTTCGAGTAAACAAAATGAACTTTTCAAACGAGAAATAAATTGGGGGATCGTGTTAATGAGAGATAATATATAATATGGATTGGTGATGGGTGTGTTTGAAGTTTTTAAGGTGTTATGAGCAAGTATTGTTGTTCATCGGCCATGGAATTAAGTCTGTTTGATCTGTTCTTCGTTACTTCTTGAGTCTGTGAAATGTGCTAATTGCAGAAGACAAATAGTGTAGAACAAGTGGCATGCATGCAAGATTATCTGTCTTTCATATTGACACCACGAATCTGTCACATTTGCACACTTTGCCTCCTTCCACTTTCAACTTTCAACCTCCTTTTGCTTTTCTCCATTTTAATCCATGCTTATTTTTAATCTGTAAGAGAGGACTTGGTATTAATAATTTAATATGATTTTACATTGTAACATTTCGAAATTTCTCGACTTTTAACAATTGACCAAATGATAGTAATCTATTATTTGATGTTTTAATCAAGTATTGGAAAGAATGTTAATTTCCCTCCTCTAAAATGTAAGTATGTTCACTTCAAAAAACATAATACTTTATAAGTTTACATCTCAGGGACATTTCATTAATGATATGGTATCTAAACTCAATTTAGTTTCTTCAAATCTTGAATTTGACGACGGATGTCAATAAAATTATAGCTAGTTTTGTATTTATAGATAGTTTTCACCTTATTGAACACAACACTTTGTAAATTCACTTATACTCGATCTGTTGGTGTATTTACCAAAGCACATTGCCAGCTCTTTTCTTAAATAAATAAATAAATAATATAAATAAATAAAAAAAAATGTCACTGCCTAGCTATAGCCCGTTTTCATGATATGGTCTCCAAACTTTTTTTGGTTTCTTCAATACCATCTTGATTTTTATATTATTTTCTTGTTCAAAAAAAGACATTATCGTTTACTAGTTGATTTTATCCATTTTTGGTAAAAAAAAAAAAAAAAAAAAACTATTAATCAGTTTGATATAAGTGACGTGGTAGTAATGTGACTGATGACATGGATGGTCCATGACATCCTTTGGACTCTTATAACATATCGAAATGTATAACTCGATTATCGAACATGTCATCAGTCACATTATATTTCTACTAAGTTTTTCTTCTAGATACGTGATAAATGTCAGATGATGACATGGACCACCCATGTCATCATCCACAATTGTCGACTTAACCGATTAATAGGTTTTTTCCGAAAATATAGATAAAATCAATAGGTAAAAATAATGTGTGTTTTTCTGTAAACAACAAAATAATATATGGGTTTTGTTTCGAATATAGCTGGATAATAGGTTGTGTACGTTTTTTTGTATTTTCACTTACATATATTTTTTTCCATGTTTCCTTTTACATTATTCTAAATTTCTTGCTTCTCATAGAAACCCATCGAACCCATCAACCATCATTATCTTTAATTGATTTATCACATTTGTTATATTACTTACAAATGATGAGAAGGTTATATTCACCCGTTGCAACCAAAATATGAAGGTAAATTATGTCTCCATCTTAACAAAGATGAAGTTGACTTGGCCTCTACAATATATTGATTCTCACCTCCCGTCTATTCTGTCTAATCCGATGTATCTCTTATGGATTCTCACCACCTGTTTTGTTTAATCAGACATGTTCACGTTCTCTTATGAATTCTCACCTCCTGTCTAATCTGTAAACTTGTCACACTACCTACTCTACAGGGATGCAACAACCGGACATGAAGCTCAAGCTCCCCGAAATCTCCAACACCACCAACAACACATCCACAGATGACAACGAATGCACAGTCCGAGAACAAGACCGCTTCATGCCAATAGCAAACGTGATCCGAATCATGCGAAAAATCCTCCCACCACACGCCAAAATCTCCGATGATGCAAAAGAAACAATCCAAGAATGCGTATCCGAATACATAAGCTTTGTCACTGGTGAAGCCAATGACCGATGCCAACGTGAGCAAAGAAAGACCATCACAGCTGAAGATGTCTTGTGGGCCATGAGCAAATTAGGGTTTGATGATTACATCGAGCCACTGACTGTGTATCTCCACCGCTACCGTGAGTTTGATGGTGGTGAACGTGGGTCCATAAGGGGTGACCCACTGATTAAACGAACCGCTGACCCGGGTCCATATGGGATGGGTCCTTTTGTGCATGGGTTTCATATGGGTCATCATCATAATGGGTTCTTTGGTCCTGCTAGCATTGGTGGGTTCTTAAAGGACCCATCAAGTGGTGGGCCTTCTGGAGCAGCTACTGTTGCAGGTTTTGAACCGTATGCTCAGTGTAAAGAGTGAGAAATGGTGGTGATGATGAGATTATGATGCATGTGGTTTGTTGTTGCTTCTTTTTTTCTTTTCCTTTTTTTCTTTTTTTGTTCATGGTGAAACAAAATTACATTGGGTCACTTTGGAAAGGCATGTAAAACGGTTAACATGCTCATTAAGTAGTGGTAATCTGCTTTCCTTTATAAGATTTTTAATTGTCTGTTTGGTATTATAGAATGGATCTGAAAGCAAATAAAATGAAATATAACCTATAATGGGCACTATATGTTGAAACATAATCTCCAGATTTAAGGTTTAAATGTTTTATCGAATTATGGGTTAACATTCGCTTTTACAAATGCATTATTAGTTCATCTAGCTGTTTATTACCCCAAATTTAGGTAAATATCTGCAATAGAAGGCTTCAAAACCAATTTGTAACTTCGAACACAAAATCAAAATATGAAAACAACAAAAGTATTAATAAGTTACAATAGAACGCTACCCCCTAAAGCGAAAAGCTACCTATGTTTCAATGCATTGCCTTTTAATCTCTTGATCAAATTTCTCTTCCTCTTCCTCTTCAGCTTCTTCTTCGTGGGACCCTTGTGCTTCAGTTTCACATCTTTTCCTTTGAGGAATCACATGGAAGAATGAAGCTTTCCAGTCTTTAGTTTCCAAGTATTTGAGAAGTATTTCCATCACTTGATTTACTGTAAGGACCTAGATTTAGAGACACAAACAATTTATTAGACCAAATCCAATTTGCCAATTCTAGGGTAACGAATAGTTTTAATTAAATGGAAATTCCATTATAAAAAACATTCTACAAACCAAAATCATCAATATACCTGAGAACCAGACATCTTGAGGTAGTTGCCAATGGGGAGTTTTGCTGTTTGAATTCCTTGATCTAAAGCTTTCTTCATGGTTATCCCTTTCCATCTATTTCTATCAACAAGCCCACCTACAATATAGATTTTCTTTGGATCTAATTCATCGAGCATAGCTTCAGAATCTGCTGTTAGATACACCAAATGCTCCTTTTGAGTTTCAAATGTATTGATATATGGACCATTATCTTTCTCAATTATCCATTTATCAAATCCCGGGATCTTTTGTAATTGATTTCCAATTTCGCCCTCGTACCCAGTCAACCAGAGATGAGATGGGATTACACTTCTTCCATTCACAGCATAGCAATACATTATCTGTATTTAAATGTCAATAAGTCATCCACACAAGAAAGTTTTAGTTCAAGATAATTGCTACCAAAACCAACAACAATAGGAGATGCAAATTAGCAACTTTAGTGAGAGAATGACATTTATAAACAGCCATATGAAATGGTAAACTTGAATTACCTGTTTAACGAGGCTATGAATCTCATTAGGAGCCATGAGATCGGAGAATTCAAGGTCAATAACGATGTTCTGCCCGTGTTTCTTAGCCTCCGATAGCCTGAGGGCTTTGCTCTCTCTTTCCTCCGTCCTCTGGTCCATTCTCTCTTTCCTCATCCCTTTTCTTGTCTCTATCATCTTCAATTTCTCTTCTTCTGATAAATTCGAGAGCTTTTCTTCCCATTCTTTCCGTTTCCTCTCACCCTGTCGTTTCTTCTCCTCTTTAATGGCGGCTTTTTTCTCTGCTTTTTTGGCTTCAAATCTCTGTTGCTTTAATAGCTTCTTCTGTGCGTTTTTAGATAATGGTTGTGGTGGTGGAGAAAGGTGGCTTGCGCTATCGCTGGAGTGGTTGACAACAAGATTTTGGTCGTCGGCGGCGATGGCATCCATTCTTGCGATTTTAACTTGGTAGTTTTGCCGGTTAAAGAGCCCTGAGGTTAATAGATTGTTTAGAGTGAACATGGTTCCTTATTCTTTATTGGAGATTCATGGATTTTGGATTCATGGCAACATTGCCAACATATCCAACAACAAATTTTGGCCCAAATGGTTTTGTTGCCTAAGAGACCGGAGTTGTTACATTATGCATATTAGGAGAATTCTGGCTTGCGCAAATGTTGATTTAAAGGATAGTAAATATATTACATAAAATATAATAATATAATTAAATTTTGATATGTATATGATGTTAAAAATAAGTTAATAATTGTTTAAACTATAGCAAATATATTACATAAAATATAATAATATAATTAAGTTTTGATACTATATGGTATTAAAAATAAGTTAATACTTGTTTACACTAAGGTGTTGTTTGTTTTTCTGAAGCAAAATGTATGTAGTCTGCAGACCACATCTGCAGAGCTCTGCAGTAGAAGAGGTGGACCAAACGTCTGCAGTCTGAAAGAAGAAGACTGATTGTTTTTTAACATCTGCGGGCTGCTAAAATCTAAATAAACTGATTTTTTTAAAAATTAAAAGATTTTTCAATAATTTTATGACTTTATTATAGCCGATTAACAAATATAGATCCACTTTTATGTATTATTGTATAAAAGTGAAAATAAAATTATACGAATTAATGTATGTATTTGATAAAAGCCAACATGTTTTGGTTGCAAAGTTATATATAAACATTATAATCAAGGATCAAAGAATTTGACACATAAAATGGATGGAAATAAACTTCGATTTTAAAATGAAAATTTCCATTTTACCTTTTCAATTAAATCAATTAAAAACTTGCTATAAATATTTTTCCCAAGAAATGAATGATACTTCATTATATAATGTTTTATAAAATTTGGCTCAAAAAAATAAAAGATAATATTAGAATTTTTTATATCTATATAAACAGTTCTAACGACCATTATTGTAATTAAATTTTTATTTATAAAGTTGTCACAAATGTCATGTTTTTGTCGTCAAACCTTTTTTCTTGAAGTATTACAATTTTTTTCCAAATTGTTTATCATAGATAAAGTTGGAATAAATCTAAGTTAAAAAAACAAAAAACAAAGATATATGTGAATTTTTAAGCTTAGAAGATGTTAGAAGACTCTGATCCACGTCTGCACCGAGAAGAGGACGCGCAGATCTTTTTAGGTCTGCAGTCTTCAAAAAAACAAACAATATGCGAAGCCTAATGTCTGCGCGTAGCCTGCGAGGCGCGGACAGAAGAGGCCAAGAAGATCTGCAGGCAAAAAACAAACAACACCTAAGTTGTTATAACATATTTTAATTATTTCATATAATATGATAAAAATATACATGTATAAAAACACCGATTTCAATAGCCGATGTCTGTAAGTTCCAAATAAAAATAAAAATAAATTTATTTTTTTATTTATAGCAATTTTTAACTATCAATAATTAATCAATTTATTTACATATTTTTTGTAATAATTAAATGTAATCTATTTGTAAGTTGTGTGTAAATTTTGATATTTTGGATTTCATTTTTATATTTAACATTATATTTAAAATTAAATTATTTTTAAATATTCAAGCAACTATCTTTTCTGAAAAAAAGAAATATTATTATTAAAATAGCTTTTGTAACGTCCCAAAGATACCGATAAAAATTCCGTTTAAAACCATCAAATCCATACAACTATTTGTTCCAAAATCAATCAGGGTAAAATGTATCTTTTAAACATCAGAATAAAACAATAACAATCAGTGCGGAAAAAGTCATCATGGGATGTTGTGTACTCAAGTCGGGCCCTTCTTTCTTTTGAACTGGAAGTACCTGAAAATGTTTAAACCAAAAACCGTAAGCACAAAGCTTAGTGAGTTCCCCAAAATACCGCATACCATACATAGGATAGGCAATGTTATATATCAACCATAGTCTTACAATCACTATCAGTCATGAGCCGAATCATGGTCTTTCCTTGCCATGTCAGGAGCCAACCATGGTTTTACATCTAAGTGACAAGAGTTACCTCCTGGTCTTCCATGCGAGCATCACAAAGAAAACTAGCATCCTACATATGTCGGGGCCAGACCCTGGTCTTGCATACAATTGCTAGGAGCCACCACCTGGTCTTTCATACATATGTTAGGGGCCACCACCTGGTCTTCCATGCAAGTATCATAAAGACAAATAACATCCTAGGTAGTATGGTGAGAAGAAACACCTGAATCCTGAAGACAAGATAAACCACACACTCGAACCGATGATAACAAGTCTCCTCTTGCTAAACATACACAATAAAACCATAATTAACAATTAAGGTAATAACCAACTCTTAAAAGGTCTAGGCTCACAACTAAACCTTTTTGGGGCAAAATATCATTTTGCCATTCCTACACTAAGTCCCAACATGCTTGACCAAAAGTCAAATCGATCAAAAAGTCAACGGGCAACCCTCAGTTGACTTACACTCAGCATAGAGCTACGCTTAGTGTACAGAAGGCTACGCTCAGCGTAGAGCCCCTATTTCCCAAAAACTTCTATTAAGCTCCTAATACAGCAAGCCAAACCCTCAAACTTCCAGATCTGATCTAAATTAATGTCTTTATAGATAAAGTCTTTGACTTTATCCCTTTTCATGGCCAAGAAGAGCACAAAACCAAACTCTAAGTCTATATTGTCACATTTTGCTCAAGAACTCATGCATTGATGGATGAGAGTGCCCAAGATCTCATTATTATGACTCTATAACCTCAAAAATATCGGAAGGAGGCATTTAAATGGTCTAGAGTAACTCATACTCACAAGGACCAAGATTATGGGGACAAAAGCATAAAACTCACAACCATACTGGATCTAACATGTACAAGCATCAAGATGAAAGCTTTATACCTCCAGAGATATATGTTGGCTTGCAAATCCCAGATCTACACACCTTGAAGCTTCCCACTTGGTTCTACAAACATTTTCTTCCTTCAAAGAGCACACAAAACTCTCTAAAAACTCCAAAACTCGCAATTGGTGGTTAGGGTTTCAAAGTAACGATATGAAGTGATGGAGGTTGGTCATAATGATCCCAAGAAGTTAGATCCCTTAAATATGGCTCAAAACCTTAGGGTTAGGGTTTTGATTTGCAGCGACTACACTCAACGTAACATAACCTACGCTTAGCGTAGGTCATTAAACTCGCGTCCAGAATTCAACACCTACACTCAGCATAGGGACTTTCCTACTCTCAACGTAGGACAAAATTCCCAATTTCCAATTCAACTTCAAACAATTATAACTTTTTCGCTTCAACTCTGTTTTCGACGTTCTTTATATGCACAAAAAAGTATAGACGAACCTTACAATTCTATCTAGTTACTTTTGGCTTAACACATGCCGAACTAAAACCATAATCCATGCAAAAAGTCTGAAATATTACTTTTTCCATTTTACCCCTTCAGCTCCAAAGTACAAATCAAGGTTTAAATCACTTTTCCAACATCATTATCATCATCAAATAGGGTCTACACTCTATTCTCTTGAATCCCAAAGCCTTTACATGATCAAATTGCGATCCAAAATCCCAAAATAAGATACATCCTGAAACTAGATGTTACACTTTTAATAAACTTTTTTTTGTTAATTTAGAAAATAAATTTAAGTTTTATATTTAAAGATTAACAATTATAATCTATACAATTACCATTAAATTTCAGTGAATCAATTAATTATCAAAACTCTTTTGAATTGTAGTAGTAAGGTGAAAAGTCATGAAAATTTTCAAATACATATAAGGTTTAAGAAAAAAAATGTCTCTTTTTATAATCGATATAATTATGATTTAAATTTTATATTTAAACTTTTATTATTTTAATTAATTGAAAAACCACCTCTTTCGAAAAAATTTATTAGTATATAAAATAGTTTTTTTGGTTAATTTAATATTTCAGTTTAAGTTTTATATTTAAAGATAAAACCATGTAATCATTATAATTATCATATTTCAATGAATCAATTAAGTAAAAAAAATGATCTCTTTTATAATTAGATATATAGATTTTGAAGGTATATAGGAATTTTATAATTAGTAAAAAATTGTCTTTTTATAATTAGATCTATAAAAAATTTATCATTCGATTATATCCGCTTTATTTTAAAATTACAAATAAATATTAAATTGTGTGTATATGATATACCTTTTTTTCCAGTTTGGTTCTGAGTAAAAATCACCTTATAAAAATACACATAACAAATACTAACTATAACCATATTTTTTTTTTCTTTTTATTTGTGACGTCAAACATGTTAACCAATATAATTTTTCTTAACAGTACTTTTGGTTTACACTACTTTTATAATTTTTTTTCATTGAATTTGCATATAAATGTTTATTCGCAAAACACTTTCCATATTATGTTTAATTCGGTTTTCATATGTAATATAAAATGCTATCAAAAAATAATCCTTCCTAATAAATGAAAATAATTTTGTCACATGTCACTCTCTCATTAACTTGGACACATGTCATTTTTTGGTATTTTTGATAATGTTTTTTCCATTTGTCATTTTCTCATTTTTTTTATCTTTTCTTAATTAACACATTATATTTACACATCAATTAATAATTGCTTTAATTGAAAATAACCAATAAATTTCAATATTACAACTCATATAGTATTTAATATGTTTCCTTTTAAATTCAAATTTAAAATTTAAAATTTAAAATTTAAAATTTAAATAAATTTTTGTTTAAACCTTCATGTTTAATTTTTTTTGTTTTATCCAACCCGTATAACATACGGGTATTACAACTAGTATATTAATATATAAAATTTACATGATAACCGAATAGAAATTGAAATCCATTATCAATTTAAGTAAATTATAATCAAATATTTGATATATGAAAACTTCATTCGTACAACAAAGTTTAATTTTTTATAATATCAAAATATCACACACACATACACGTATATATAATAATAATAATAATAATAAATAATAATATCAATTATTATACTACTTGGTATAACTTCTAACAATATAGAGAATATCACCTTAATATTTACTAACGT